TTTCCACAGCTTGAGTGCCTCATCAGATTACAAAGGTTCAAGTTTAAAAGTGAAGTCCATAATGATGACCATAAAGGTCATTGTTTTAGACCTGATAACCACCACAAGATAACATGCTATAAGCAAGAATGGTTTTCACCAGCATTAGCACAAAGGTTTTTCCAATTTAGACTCTAATAAATGACCTGAAACAGTCCTAATAGGTCTGAATTCTGGAGATTAAATTCAGTATGTGTCCCCAGAAAACAAAGAGTTAGTTAGGTGTCATCTTATTCTTTTAAACGTCAACACCAGTAGGAGTTCATCTAACTTACCCAATTGTCAAAGTAACTTTGAATAATAAAACATTGACTACATTACTAATTTGTACTGATGTTACCAAAAAAACAATATATATAGCTCTAGTTCATGAAAAGAAAAACCACATGTCTTTCACACAAGTGTATATATTTCTCATATAACTGTTCTAGCAATTAACTTACCAATTTGTCAGAGAACAGGGTAGTCACACAAGGAGCCATGCTCCAAAACAGTCTTCTCTCAGCTATGTTCTCAAGAAAGAGTATGTATAAATCACAGTAGTCAATCCCTGCTGCTAAAAGAAACTAGTGTCATATTTCATGGGAGTACATTGTTTTTCAGATATTTTCAGGGTGTTTTCTGCATGAATTGAGCTTATGACTTCACTAGCAATGTTGAGGCCTCATTTAGAATGGTGGTTAAAGCCAAACTTTGTCCTAATTTTTATGTTGGTGACATCAACATTTTTATTAGCTAACTTAGTAGAAAGTATGAAGAAAGTACCACCTTTGATAGCTACTATCAAAAATGGTATCTCAAGTCAAAATGGTCATATCCTCTGACCCTAGAGAAGGTATAAGACAACCTCAGTAGATTTATAGAGGTAAAAATGTTAGAGCTAAAAGAGAACCTTAGATAAGACTGATTCTATTCCAACTTGGTATTTTACAAATAAAAGAACAGGAATAGGAATAAAGGAGGCCCAGAGAAGAATAACAACTTGCTCAACATCACAGAACCCAATAACTCAAATCTAGATCACAGAAATAGACATTATTAAGCATATATGTTATATACAGGAGATGTGCAAATGAAATAGCCACTACAAATACCCTTTTTTCATTTGCTCAAAATGTTATGAACAAAATTTCAGACTGACATATTTAAATGTAAAGTTAAAAATGTACTGTGAAGTCAAATATACTTATATAAAACATTTACTAGTATAAAATATCTATACCATGGTTCACCTCCATTACAGTTGGCTTTCTTATTACTTCCAGACACCTTAGATGAATTTGCTTGATCCCATAATGACACTCACATCTCTATGATAGTAAGGGTAAAAATATTACAATGTCTGGATTTTATGACAAAGTGATCATGGTTGAAGTTATGCCTTCCACTTCTAGCTTTAAGGCCAATGCAGTACAAAGAGGAAAGGTTCTAAATTCAAAATCATTTTTTGGAATAGGCCAACTTTTACAAATATAAATGATCCAAGTTTTACTTCAACCTACTTCCATGGGAATTTTTTTTAAATGTCCAGTTCTGCCTCCTAGAATTTTTCATTATTTTTCATTCCATCATGGCCTAATTTAGGCTATTTCAACTAAGTGCAAAACATCTAAACATGTACCTGCAATATGGTTCAAGAACCTAAAAAACAAAACAAAAAAACACTACCTTTTTAAAAAAAATTTATAGTTCTTATGGCAATGCAAACCTCCTTTGGAAATTTCAATGGGAATTTTAGAGGAAAATATGAGGCAATATCTTACCCAGAAAATATAACGATTTGGCATTCACATTGAATTGTGGGTAAGATTCAGTGTTTTGATTGATAGTTTTAATGGTTCGGATCTTGGTTTGTTAAATCATCAGATAAAAAGTACTTGAAGTTAGGCAGAAGTTTGTTTAAAAGAAAGACGATTAGAACATATTATCTTGGTAATCAAGCTTTCAAAAGAGTGCTAATAAACAGATTGCTTGTATAGACCAGTCAATGTATATTAATGTAATTGTTGGGATCATTTAAATAACCTCTTCATACTTACTTCACAGCTCCCCCTACTTTCAATCCTTGCAGCTTTGCCTCAGAACTATGGGCATTTTAGATTGTTTCTTTGGTTTGCTCTACTTGCGTAAATGCTCCAATTACTCTGTTGATGCAGGACTAGCAACTGGAAACTGAGTAGTACTTTACTACACAGAAATGTTATTTCTACTGCATTGCCAATGACTCTTTCAGTCACTTTTTTTTTTTTTTCAACAGATCAGAGTTTTGGCTTGCTTTGCTTTTGTGGGGATGTTTCTTAAAGTGGGAACCTTGTCTATGTACACATATGTGTAATGAAACTTAATAGCATCTGATTGTACTGACCGTGGCCCTTCATTTTGTTTGGTAATTATTAGATCATTCTGAAGGGAGAGGAAGCTGGAATAATTTTTTAATGGAAAGATACTTCCTGAGATGTGGTAAGGAATTGCTAAAATGAACTGCCATGACAGCATTCTCTGTAACACAACTGTTATATCGAGGGCTATCAAGATTTGAGGTTTTTGGTTTTAAGAATAAGCATTTAGTCAGGAAAAAAAAAAGAGCTTACCTGTAAAATATAAAAATATACATTTTTGGCAAAATAAAGCAAGTCTGCACACTTGAGATATTACTATTTACATGTTGATTTATGGCCTAGGATTTTAAACTATATGCTGCTTGGTGATCCAGAGAAAGTGCTAGTAGGTGGCTTTTTAAAAAATGGGATGTTTAAGCACAGAGCAGTTAATTACTGGAATGATTCAGGCAGCAAGCCAGGGTGTTCTAGCATCTTTAAGTTCAGTATTTGTTTTATCTTTTGCTATCTAGAATGGATTTGCATCATGTACTTGTTAGCTTATTGATACAAGCTGTATTCTTCCTTTTTCTAAAAATATACCATCAGTGTTGGAGGTACTTGAGAAACATATACATATTAGGAATTATGATACTTAAATATAAAATTAAGTGGGACACCCTTATACCAGAAGCTAGTTTTCTTATCTGATGTGAAAAGTTGGGAAAGCTCTATAGAGGCTTTCTGCCACCACATAGCTGAAGCAAAAACAATTCCCCAGTAACAGAACCCACAACTTTTGATCACTGTAATCAAGCTTCACACATCCATGATTGTAGCACAAATCCATCTTCCCCTCCTGCGCCTCCTCCCAAAAAGCCTTCTTTACAACTCCAAATGACTTGATAGAACTAAAAAAGACTAAAGAAGAATGATATGCAGAGTGAAAGTCATTTTCACTAATTTGCAACATTTTTTTTTGCCCTTCAGCATTAAAAGGTTGTATGCCAACACATGAACACACAGAAACATACACACCAAGACACTGTTCTCAGTGGCACCTGAATGAATAGGTAGCAGTGTATCTTTCATTTAAATCTAAAGTAGGCAATCATGTGTAAGTACAGTTAAGCTGGTCTTGGCCATTTTTTTTTCCCCTCAAAGTTCAAAATAGCCCCTCAAATACTCATTGCCACCAATTGCCTTCCAAATGAAAAACCATCCTGACAGTTCTCCAGTTTTATAGAAACCCTAAAACTGACCCTTTGGATTTTTACTGGAGTTCTCGAGGGACTTAGATGGTGACAGTAGAGAGACAAAAAGAAAAGCTTTTAAAGTAAAGATGAATATGGATATGCACTTTGAAACATAGGACTGGGCCTGGCATTGTCGTACAATGGTTTAACCCACAATTCGTGACCCTGGCATCCTGTATCAGTACATTGGCATAAGTGCCTTCTGCTCTGCTTTTGATCCAGTTCTCTGCTAATGTTCCTGGGAAAGAAACAAAAGATAGCCCAAGTACCTGGGCCCTTGCCACCCACATGGGAGATCCAGATGAAATTTCAGGCTCCTGATTTTGGCCTGGCTCAGACCTAGCTGCTGAGGCCATCTGAGATGGAAGACTTGTTTCTCTCTCTGTGTCTCCCTTCCTGTCACTCAGCTTTTTGAATAAGTATTCTTAAAAAAATACATGGGACTAACCACCAAATTGAGATTCAGTTTGCCCAATTAAAAAATATGGTTTCCAAATTAAAACATTGTCATCATTTTCTCCCTTAATAAAATCAAGAATTGCAACAGAATATGAAAACTAGTTCCAATCAACCTATGATTTTTAAAATTTTGGGTCATATTTGGGTTTCATTTCAGATGGTAGTGAGTTCTCATCTTGGGATCACGGCAACCCTGAATTGAACACATCAGACTCATGG